TGAACACTTTTGCCCAAGAAAGATCTCTACCTCACAACTGAAAAGAAAGGAAACCTCACTCCATGAATACTCTGCCTCTCACCGAAGTTCTGCAGAACCAAATGCCAGAATAAGTCCTAACCCCCGAGGCTACAAAGACAGATATGATAGGTATGGAAAACCTTTTGGTGCAAGTCTCTCAGAAAGCTCACTCAGTAAAGGACCAGCCTTGGAATGGAGAAAGTCCAGGTCCCCAAATTCTGCTAGATTGCCCTATCACTTCCAACAACCTGCTAATTCAGGCTCCCACTCATACCAAAGAGACAGAGCACGTGTTTACTCCCACAAGCAGGTATTGGAATCTCGAGATGCAAGAGACCAAAACTATACAAGTCACAGGCAGCAACAAGCACCAAAACCATCTTTACTGTTCTAAATTTAGAGTCTATATTTCCAGTAATTATACATATGCTTCTGATCTGACTTTACCAAAGGAACATCAACAATCTTGTGCGTTTGTGCAACATCTACTGTATCAATAGAAACATCCTTTGATTCCTTAAACCAAAACTTATCTTTCGTCAATTTTCGAGGATGTGTTTTCGTTTTGAACGCGAATGCTATGAGAGACTTCTGGACCACTCTAACCAATGGCTCCGTTTTGAACTTGAATCGCCATGATTTCAAGAACTTCCCCTGCTTCCTCTTAGTTCGCATCTGTTCTGCCTTAGAAGACATATAAACCACCATGGAAGCCTTGTTTTTGGCACTAGCCGTTGGTGATGGATAAGTCAACTCAACCACCTCATCCACATGTAACTGGTGAGATTGGTCTTCTTGAAGCCCAAACCAGCCATAACTTTTAAAACCAGAAGGTAAATCAGCAAAAACCACACAATGTTGTGACTGAAATCGATCCAATGATCCAGTGGAACAAATCCATGTTGCCATTTGTAGAACCTCACCACTTGAACTCTCCATTTTCTGAGGTTGTAGAACATGATCCGTGGCCAAGAATGACACTATATACTTCTGTGATTTATGGCCCAGACTCAAATCTGATAATTCCAAAGACTTGGTCTTCATTAGTTCATCCTTTTTATGTCCCAGTGATACCGTTTGTTGCATCAGTTCGTTCTCCTCTTGGAAAGCTTTCTGTAAAACCTCTGCATATGATTTTTCTTCAAACAATAACTTCTCATTTGTCAATGGGCGTTGCTCTGGCCTGGTCTTGAACTTGAATCTCCAGGATTTGGGGAATTTATTTTCTTCAATAATTGATGCACCTTGTTTCCTCTATGAGGCAATATGTCAAACAGTTGGTGTGCAAACAATTTAGCTATGGCATATGTTGACGTCTCACAATTTCCAGCCCCATCGTCAACACCAAGAACAGATCGGAAGTCATCAAAGATATATCCACTAACTTCTGACATCAATCTATTGTTCTTCATGAACACATATGTGAATTCCACAAGAACGTCTCGTGATTCATGGGAAACTCGACGGCTAGGTTGCAAATCAGATACACATACCTTATACGGTGATGCTTCTATCTGAGTCGAGACATGTGACATCGATTCCATCTCATAATCCGCTTCGCTCTCTTGAATCGACGATTCTGTCACTGGTTTCGAGTTTTCCTCTTCAATCGTTTTCACCTTTTGATCATCAGTCTGATGATTCTGCTCCGATAAGATCTCTTCTTCTCTCCCCTGCACCTCCGGACGATACCTAGCTTTCATGAGCGTGACAAGCTCCTGAAGCAATGATTCCACCGAACAACTTTCCATTGTTAAGCTCAATGGAAAGTTGTTCTACTCGATCGGCTAGATCTAACTCCGGTGACTGAGATCCGGCGATTTGGTTCGGAAGTTTCCTCTGAGGCATCGCAGACGACTCACCACACCAATTGATAAGTTCTTGAAGTGAAAAACATATCTTTCTTGAGTAATCGAACAATTACCGGTCTAATCACAAGATGCCAAAGTCTGTGAATGAGATTTACAATAGCTAATACTCTCTATTTATAAAGGAGACTT